CTCTTCCGAGCAATTGCCCAAGCATCGAGATGGCGGTGATATATGACAGCAATTCATTGTCATAAATTCAGAATTTAATAATCATGAAATTATGGCAATATCAATTTCAGTGAGTTAATAATATATAAACTCTGATTTGCAACAAAGTGCAATGAAGCTTAAGAACAACAAATAAAAGAAAGAATATCAAATTCCTTCCATCTATAAAGCAAAAATGTAGTGTCATTTCTCTGGTAAGTATTCATGTTCACAGAAGTAGAAATATAAGAGAAAGAAGCCAGATATATTGATTCACGAATTTAAGATCAGATTTAAGATCCGAAACTTAAAATTCTCGAATCCATGCATTAATACGCATAAAGAAGTTCTTAAGAAAAAAAAAAAAAATGAAGATCGCTTCAATCAAATCCTCATGACTATATATATAACGATGAATAAATCCTTACTCTATTATCTGTAAAATAATGAGGAAATCCTTACCTCTAAATGCCTCCAGAAAGTATAAGAGAACTCAGAAGCAATAAACAAAGTATCCAAACCACGCGAATGAAGCACCCCTAAATGAATTGCCAACTAACCGAAATTCTTCCTTAACGCACGAATCAAAAATCCCAACCCCAAACTCTTCCCTAAAGGGAGTATTTATAGGCAACGGGGAGGAAGGAAACTTACCGCCGGTGAGAATCGGGGTGGTGAGGAGAAACACCCACGAAGGGTAAGAAACTCATCAAGATTTGAAAATAGGAAGGTTATCAGACTCATTCGAGCGGGAAAATCCGTTAGAGGAGGGCGACCGGAAGCTATAACGGGTGACGAGAGTCGGTTAGAGCTCGGAAGGAAGGAAGATGACCAGATAACCGGGAAGAAGCTTCGCTTATTCACCGAATAGGAAGCAAGGTTTTGGCTAGGGTTGCGAATGGGAGGGCCGAAAGAACCGTGTGCGTGGGTTTACATTTCTTTCTTCTCTTTTTTTATTTAATTAAATTTACCAAACAAAATAATAATAATAATAATATTATTTCATTCAAAAAAAATATCAATTTATGCACAACTTAATCCAACTCGGAATACTATCAAGATATATGTTCTTCCCGACTAAAATTGACGTCTCGGACGCACTGACGATGTCTGTTTCGTCATCTGAGGTCTATCGAAAAATTTCGTCGAATATCATACCAATTTAACTTTAATTCACACACATTGCAGCAAAAGTTAATTTGGTCCAATTGGAGCCGTTTAACGAGCAAATTGGTGACCGGTCATCGCCTTAAACGACAACCATAGTCAAACATATTGCTCTCGACAAAAATTCAAACGTTGCACACGTCATGAGGTCCACCTATGTTTTTTAAATCCCTATGGGAACTCAACAAGAACTTCAATATGTAGGCTTTAATCTACTCAACCTAGTGTTGAAGATTTAAAACCGTCCATATAAACTTCAGGTAGCGAATAAATGACTTGAATTTCTAAATATTGTGGGTCTCGATTTAGTCCTCTAGGAAAGTCAAACATGAAAAATCTTAAGGCTAGATATTAGGGTATCTAAGAAAAGGGAAAGGAAGACCTCAAAATTGAGGTCAACACTCTTGAATCTCCTCCATTGAAGCCTCTCTCTCGACAGCTCGATCCTTCACGACTCACTACCTCCTTGATTTCTGGCTGAAGGACACATTGAAAATCTCAGAAGATAATGAACCCTTAGTTTTCTCCCGATACTTTGACCGCTCGATTAGAATTATTTCGTCTATTCCTACCTTTTGAAAAATAATAGTAAAAGGAGAATCCGAGTATACTATATCCGCATTTGCTGAACCATCGAGGCCCTTTGCTTAAACGGGCACTTGGTGTTTGACATTCTTCGCCTCAACGAAGACTGAGCGATCCATTCTCTTAGTGATTTGAGCCAACTCTTCCTCTCACCCTGACAAGCGTCAGAGGCTTTTCAATTGTCCTCGATCATTTTATCGAGGGTGTTGGGTCTTAACATCTAGTTGACAAAAGCAGACTCTAGCTATTGATGGAACGATAATTTGGCCCCCTCGACCTTACTTGGTTCCCGCAGTACTTTCGCCGATGCCTTTGTTTTTGTCTTCAGAGGAGGCTTACCGGATGAGACCATTCAAATGAATAAGTCTCCTGGGAAGGAAACCAAACAAAACCGTTGCTTTCAATGCTTCACCTTAATTTTCAGCCCCGACAAGTAGAATTTACTTGTCAACGTGAATTGTACAAACCCGCACGACCCAACCTGAAACAATAACATGTAATCGGCTAACGGATCCCTTGGTGCCGAAAATATATGACGAAAGTCATGATTAACGCGATGAAATTTGACTTCACCTACATCGGGATTACTTCATAGTTGAAGAAGACAGAGCACAACTCGGTTCAGTATGGAAGGGGGAGCCTGAGCTGAAACTGATCCTCATGGTATAAAAGATCATTACCATAAAGCGAGGTCTCCCAATCTTCCATGCAGGCGACTCAAAGTTTGATAGAAGCATAAAAAATATGACTCCGTTGTAACAAGCCGACTTCCTTCTAAGTCATTCGAAATTGGTCATCTAAAGAGTGCGACCCGAAGTCCTTTGAAGAATACTTGGGTGTCGTCGAGCTATCGCTGAAGCGGAGCACCAAAGTTCGAGAAAGCGATAGAGAAAAGGAAAGTAGAGGAAGTGTAACCCATATCTAAAACCCCTTTATGTAAACCATCATGCGAGAGTAAAATCGGAAGCAGGTAGTCGTTTCTATAAGGGATCATCAGTGAAATTAAAACGATTTGGAAAACAACAAAAATAATATTTTTATTCCATAATAACACATGTACAATGGCGCTCTTGGAAATTAGTTAAGTGAAGTGTTTCATGAGAGAGTCCGATGCTACTTCGACCAAGACGTGCCCCAAACCGAAACAACCTCCTATATAAGAATTCTCCACCTAATCTAAACTGATTTAGCCCGCACGTGAAAAATTTGAGACTTTTCTCGTATATCTGAAAGTTCATGGCAGAGAGTGATCATTTATCATCCACCATCTCCATACGAGCAACAACTCGCGTATCTCCCCATGTCATTGGATCCCAATCAATAGAACGAATGAACTCTCAATCTTGTCTAGACGACGAGCCAATGACCCATGGGATGTTTGGGTCCCTCCAACAGCTTTCTCGTGTGTCTCAAGAGGAACTGGAGAGTCGTCGGTGCGGCCGACCCTGCCATCCTCGCTGAAGAACAGGCCTATCTCGCCTACCATGCGACCTGCGCTTCGGTTGTACCCTTGTTCAGATTAGGTTGTAGTGGAGCATCTGCATCACAAGATATATTTTTCAAACCAAAATTCAAAGGAAAGATCCTAGAAATACCATACAAAGTCTCTTGTACCCAAGAACCGAATCAATTTAGACACTGTAAGCTCACCAGGGAGCATTGGTGGAAGCGGGAGAAGTACATTAGAAGTCATTGGATCAGTCTAATTGGCAAGAGGGTCCTGCGTCACAGTGTTGGGTGGTTGGATTAGGAACCGTGCTAGTCGGCGGAACATCTTTCAGCAATACACCCAAAATCAAAGCAGGCGAACCCACTTGATTTGACAGTGAGAACATCTTTCTTCTCACCATAACCTTATTTTTCCTCTTCCTCTAGGGGATCCTAACCTTTTGCCTTGGCAAATACAGAGCATATCAGATTTTCTTAGGGACGCCGACTTAAGATTTCGCGAGTTTGTCCATGACAACACCAAAGACACGAGAGATGAGCGACCCAAATGATGGTAAGCGCAAAATGGAGTATGCGTGGAAAGGCGTTCGATCGCTCTATTCATATGAATCAGAGACTCTAAAATCAAGGGAGTCCAATCATTGCTTAAAATTGAATGATCAATTTTTTGCATTTAATTCTCTTATTCTTATTATAGTGCCGCTTTCAAGAGATAAAAAAACCGGGAAACTAAAATATTTATATAAAAAAAATGTCAATACTGATCTTATAGAGATCTAACAGTCCAGAAGACAGGAATGTAATGGAGAAAGATCGACATCAAACTAACTGAGATAAGTCAGACAAGCCAAGTCAACTCATCCAAAGTTGACCGAATCCAAAAGTTGATGGGAGAATGGATGATCGATGCCAACAGAGCAACTCTTCCAAAAACTATCAGAGGGGTGTCTAAGTTTGAATCATAGGGAGTCGACTCGATATAAAGGTTTATCCCGCAGGATAGTTGACCCAAGGAGAAGGTCGTTCCATAAATATCGTGAAATGTCTCACAAATATCAAGAACTCTCGTTGGAGATGAGACCATTGTACATAGTCAAATGAGTCGAACCGACTGAGCTAGGACAACCAATCGAGTTAGAAAATGACCATAGGAGTCGTTGCTTATAAAATACTAAAAACATCCCAAAATAGATCCTATCCGGATAGTGACAAAAATATAATATCATTGTTGTACTAAATCATCTATAAATAGGGGAAGCATTTATTGAAGAGGGATTCTACATTTTTACTATTCATTTGAGAGATTGTAGCATCATTTTAGAAATCATCTCTCCCTCTATCTTTCCACTCTCCTCTTAATCTCTATTCTTTGGGTGTGATTCATTGACATTTTTTGGATTCAACACTTTATAATTGTGTAATAGTTTATAGGTGGTGTTTCAATCGTATGCGATCGATTCAAATACTCACTCCAGTTTGACATTTGCTAATTGTATCAGTCTCATCAAGTATAATTAGGCTCAAGTCAGACGCTTGATCTGATAATGCTTATAATCAAGTTAGTAGTTTGATTCGTTTCACTCAAAACTTTACCCATTTGCAAGTTATATACTGTTTATGCGCCATATTCCCGTAGCCTTGATTAGCATCATGCCATCTGTGCACTTAATAATTGCAAAATCAGCTATTTTTAGTACTCTAGAAATACTCAGCTACGTCAATTCAAAACAATGCTTATTTCATTGACAAGTTAATAGAAGCATAGTGTCATTGTTTAGAGCCGAGGAAATTACTGATAGTTACGATATATTTTAAATCTTGGCATCTTCTTTTTTTTAAATTCTTTTGGAACTAACTAAAGAATAGTCACACTTTTAATGCCCTCTGACAAGATAATATACTCGGAAACATTCGGAATATTCTTTTGAGAAATGTTTTTTTATTCAAAATCGATGGGACAATTATCAATTAGTCGTAATTTACTTTCTAGCCGTCTACAGGGAAGGTTTAGAAGCATTTGTTTGATGATTTTAACTGGCTGTTCAGATGGAAGTTCTCTTTTTTTTTCAGTGCTTTTTTAATGTAACTAAACGGTTTGATGAAACTAACCAAAGAATGATTTATTCAGGGGTCCGCTTTCAAAGGGCTATTTTTGTGCCAAATCAATCTGTGTTCGATAAGGTTGGTTCTTACAGTGCACCACAATCGGATCCTAGACAAGTTGACCTATCGTGGCAACTGAATATCCAAAGAGTTTGGAGAAACATCATTAGTGGAAGTAGAGGTAAACTCTAGAACAAAGAACTTAAATGATCTCTATAGCTTTGAGGACTTTTCTCTTTAGGTATACTAAGAGCTATATTACTGTATAATTTTCTTACTGTCAGGGCTAGATGATGATACAGTTAATGGTATGGTGGAACCCTTTGAAAAGAGTGAACAAACTATGGAGAATAGTGCAGTGTTTCCTACTCTTCCGTTAGCTATCAAGTGGTTAAGGGAATATGCAAAACAAAACCAATCAACCCGGGTCCAGGTAAAATCTAAATTCGTAAACAGGAGAATATATATTTTTCTCATTAGAGCCAATAGAAATTAAATCTCAAAATGGTTTTTGGGCCATTGATGTGTAGCCAATTTAGTCTTAATGATGTGGACGTACCTGCTGCGGGAGTCCCGAAATGTACCGCAGGGGCCACTGCAGCGGGAATTTGGACTGTTAGGCTCTCCCCTTCCTTTGGACCGAGTGTTCGACTCAGACAAACACCTCCAAGGAGCCATCCGACCCTACTTCTCACAGGACTTGCTGCCCAGATGATGCGGGGGCCACTTATTTGTTACCCTAGTTTTATATATGTTGTTTTCATCGTGTCTAGGTTGGGTTTTTTATTTTTTTATTTTTATTTGTGTTTCTGTTCATGGCAGCTATTTGAGTTTTGGTTTCTCCTTTATAGTGTTGTATCCACAGGTGGGTGATGTTCCAAATATAGTTTATCTGAGGTGATCTAATAGTGCTCAGTTGTAGCTCGTTCTCGAGGGAGAAGTTATCCTCTATTTCGCATTCTCCGCAACCCCTCCTTCGTCGCTGCAGCCTTTCCTTGTTGCCACTTATCCCAATTGCTCGTCTTTGCTGTCCAACCATCATTTTGACTTGCTGTTGCTTGGGCTGCAGCCTTTCCTGCTGTCCCTGTAGTCCTCGCTTGCTACCCTCACACCTTACGGTACTCCTCTTCTGTCTTGCAGTCCACACCTTTTCCCTTGCCCCACCCTCGTTGTCCAACCCTTTGCTTTGCTGCCAACGAAATTCAAAACAATGCTACAAGGAAGTGCCTGATGACAAATGAGTAAAACTCGCTGCCATCAAATTGAAGAAAAATGTTTTTTGTGGTGGGAGAACTTGAATAGGGAGAGATAGAATGAAGGACGAGACAAAATCACTTGTTGGGAGAAAATGAAGAGGGCGATGCAGTGTTGGTACCTTCCCCACACTATCGCCAAGATATTTTTTTGAAGCTCTACTATCTGTAGCAGAAGGAGCTATCAGTGGAGGAGTGCACAACAGAATTTATGCAGCTTAAGTTGAAGTGTGAGCCGAAGGAGACAGAGAAGCACACCATAGCCAGTTACTTGGGGAGCCCAAAGCCTGCCATTAGTAATGTGGTTCAGCAACAACCTTATTGGACACTCAGGGACCAACATACCTTAGATCTTGAAGTGGAGAAACAACAACAACAGGGTAGGCAACCATTGCCAGTCAGAAAATCACCCATAGTTAGGAACTTAAAAAGAGCATGCCTCGGGGAGTGGAGCAAACTAGTTAGGAGCAGGACAGAGCCACTCCGAGTGAGAAGCCTAGTAGCATGATCACTGTAGTCCCAACCGAGAAATGCTTCAGATGCCATGGTTTTAGACACATCGCTTCCAGCTGCTTGATGAGCTGAGTTGTATCTTTCACAAAGCATAGTGCAATTGAGGGATTGAGCTATGAAGAGATTGCTAAAGAGAAGGGTGAGGAGTACCGGCTTCCCTCAAATGAGGGATTCTTGTGGTTCTATGTGTCCTTCAGACTTGGGCTATGAGGGAGCACTAGTAGCTTCGCCACAACATATTCTACTCTCGTTGCACAGTGAAATAAAAGGTATATGGTCTCCTCATTGATAGAGGGAGCATCAATAACACGACGTCTAGCAGATGGTGGAGAAATTGAGTCTCATGTTCGGAGACATTCCCAGCCTTATTCCCTGACGTGGTTGAAGAAGGAGAACATGGTCAATATTGACAGCTGGTATCTCATAGGGTTTTCGATTGGGAACTATCTATAGGATCATGTATGGTGCGACGTAGTACCCATGGATGTCTACCACCTTTTGTTGTGGGGGGACCGTGATGATTTGTTCGTCGGACTCAACATGAAAGATTCAAGAATACATACCCCTACACGGATGGCATTCAAATAATCCTTCTACCTTCTACGGTGTCCAAGATTATATGTGCCCTTGTCTGCGAAGAAGTGCCAGTAGGATTGATTTTGATGATGGAAAGGATAGCGGGATAGAGGCGCCGATTTTCGAAATGGGGCATTGAATACAAAGAGCATGTCAGGACATCATAATTGATACCTTACTACCATGAATGCCACCGTTAGGAGTTCGGTCCATTCTCACATCAGGTTGGACTGAGCCAACCTTAGGGCTATCTTTGGAAGACTCTGTAAGGCACACTTGCTATGAAGTTCTAGTTCAGTTCAATAGTGTACCCTCATATGTTTTGATTGATATGGATGACTCATCAGGTGTTTTTGGGGACAGTGCAACTGACAGTGGGACCATGTGCTTCTAGGGGTGCAGTAGAAGATCCTTTAGCCTCGGGAGGTTGCAGTAGCTCCACTATCTTCAACATGCTTGATCCGATTCCATGCTACAAGAAGACAGAAGCTTCGATAGATGAAGCGAAAGCTCCCCTTAGAACTTACCTGTTACGGGAGTCTCGAATTGGACTGTTGGGTCTCTTGCTGCTGGAATTCTGGGACAACAGGCTTTCCCTTCCTCTGGATTGGGCATTCGACTCAGGAAAACACATCTTGGGAGCCGCCCGACTTTACTTCTCATAGGATTTGTCACCGTCACCCAACTGATGTGGGGGCAAATCCTTTGTTACTCTAGGTCTATATATTTTTTTTCATCGTATCTAGGTTAGTTTTTTCATGTTCATGTTATGACAGCCGTCGGAGTCGTGATTTCTCCCTTCTAGGGTTGTATTCAAAGGCGAGTGTGATATTCTTCCATGAGTCAAGTGATGCTCTGACTGTAGCTTGTTCTCGAGGGAATATTATCCTCGACTTCCCATCCTCTGCAACCCTTCTTTCGTTGTCGCCAACGCCTTTCCTCGCAGCAAGAATTACTTTCCTGTAACTATAGCCGCCAACCACCACCTCCTCCACCCGTTGCTTTCCTTTCCAGCCACCTCCCACCTTGCCGCTACACATCCCAATTGCCCTTCTTAACTATCCAACACTTCTTAACTATCCAACAATAATTCCAACATACTACAAAGAGCATGTCAGGACATCATAATTGATACCTTACTACCATGAATGCCATCGTTAGGAGTTCGGTCCATTCTCACATCAGGTTGGACTGAGCCAACCTTAGGGCAATCTTTGGAAGACTCTGCAGGGCACACTTGACATGAAGTTCTAGTTCAGTTCAACAGTGTACCCTCATATGTTTTGATTGATATGGATGACTCATCAGGTGTTTTTGGGGACAGTGCAGCTGACAGTGGGACCATGTGCTTCTAGGGGTGCAGGCGAAGACCCTTTAGCCTTGGGAGCTTGCAATAGCTCCACTATCTTCAACATGCCTGATCCGATTCCATGCTACAAGAAGGCAGAAGCTTCGATAGATGAAGCGGAAGCTCTCTCTAGTCCGGGAGATTGGCGTGAACGTACCTGTTACGAGAGTCCCAAATTGGACTGTTGGGTTGCTTGCGGCTGGATTTCTGTGCCAACAGGCTTTCCCTTCCTGTGGATTGGGCATTCGGCTCAAGCAAACACAATTTGGGAGCCGACCGACTTTACTTCTCATAGGATTTGTCACCCAACTGATGTGGGGGCAAATCCTTTGTTACTCTAGGTCTATATATTTTTTTTCATCGTATCTAGGTTAGTTTTTTCATGTTCATGTTATGACAGCCGTCGGAGTCGTGATTTCTCCCTTCTAGGGTTGTATTCAAAGGCGAGTGTGATATTCTTCCATGAGTCAAGTGATGCTCTGACTGTAGCTTGTTCTCGAGGGAATATTATCCTCGACTTCCCATCCTCTGCAACCCTTCTTTCGTTGTCGCCAACGCCTTTCCTCGCAGCAAGAATTACTTTCCTGTAACTATAGCTGCCAACCACCACCTCCTCCACCCGTTGCTTTCCTTTCCAGCCACCTCCCACCTTGCCGCTACACATCCCAATTGCCCTTCTTAACTATCCAACACTTCTTAACTATCCAACAATAATTCCAACATACTACAAAGAGCATGTCAGGACATCATAATTGATACCTTACTACCATGAATGCCATCGTTAGGAGTTCGGTCCATTCTCACATCAGGTTGGACTGAGCCAACCTTAGGGCAATCTTTGGAAGACTCTGCAGGGCACACTTGACATGAAGTTCTAGTTCAGTTCAACAGTGTACCCTCATATGTTTTGATTGATATGGATGACTCATCAGGTGTTTTTGGGGACAGTGCAGCTGACAGTGGGACCATGTGCTTCTAGGGGTGCAGGCGAAGACCCTTTAGCCTTGGGAGCTTGCAATAGCTCCACTATCTTCAACATGCCTGATCCGATTCCATGCTACAAGAAGGCAGAAGCTTCGATAGATGAAGCGGAAGCTCTCTCTAGTCCGGGAGATTGGCGTGAACGTACCTGTTACGAGAGTCCCAAATTGGACTGTTGGGTTGCTTGCGGCTGGATTTCTGTGCCAACAGGCTTTCCCTTCCTGTGGATTGGGCATTCGGCTCAAGCAAACACAATTTGGGAGCCGACCGACTTTACTTCTCATAGGATTTGTCACCCAACTGATGTGGGGGCAAATCCTTTGTTACTCTAGGTCTATATATGTTGTTTTCATCGTATCTAGGTTAGTATTTTCATGTTCATTTTATGAAAGCCGTTGGAGTCGTGATTTCTGCCTTCTATTCAAAGGCGAGTGTGATATTCTTCCAAGAGTCAAGTGGTGCTCCGACTGTAGCTTGTTCTCGAGGGAGTATTATCCTCGATTTCCCATCCTCTGCAACCCTTCTTTCGTTGTCGCCAACGCCTTTCCTCGTAGCAAGAATTACTTTCCTGTAACTATAGCTGCCAACCACCACCTCCTCCACCCGTTGCTTTCCTTTCCAGCCACCTCCCACCTTGCCGCTTCACATCCCAATTGCCCTTCTTAGTTGTCCAACAATCATTCCGACATACTACAAAGAGCATGTCAGGACATCATAATTGATACCTTACTACCATGAATGCCACCGTTAGGAGTTTGGTCC